GGTCTCCCAGCCAACCCATCTCCCCAAGGCCCGGGACCCCGGCCCTCCGCGGCCCCCTCCCCGGGAGCTCCTCCCTCCGCTCCCCTCCGCCTGCCATCCCCTCGCGGACCCCAATGGGTCCCCCTTTACGCCTCCATAGTGGATTCCCGCGGTGCCAGCAGGTTTCGGGCTCCCCTTAGCCGGCTGAGGTGGTGGCCGGCGTGTCCCCGAGCCGGCGCTTGGCGCCCTGAGAGTGTGGCCGTGGTTAATTCCCGGTAGTGACCGCCATAGCGCCACGTGGCCACTGCTTGACAAAGGAAACTTTTTTCAGCCTCCAGTGAGCCTAAGAAAGCCCCAGCATTTCGGGCCGAGCCGCTGGCTGCCTGGCTTCTGTTTTTACTCTTTTCCTTCTGTCCCTTTCCCGGACGAGCCACACCTTCTCTGCTTTCTCTGGGCCAGTCCGGGACGCTGGGCCCGGGGCCTGGCGCGGTGAGCTGCAGATAGCCGGGGCCGCAGGGCAGCCCGGAGGCCGGAGGGAGACGTGGAAGGCTAGACCCGTGCGGGGCGTCTGGTCCTCGCCTCCCTTCAGGGCCGGGAGTGTGCATGAAGTAGCCGGTAGCCCAGGTGCCTTTCCCCAACCCAAGGAGCTCAGAACTCTTGGCAGTTCCATGTTCGCAAACAAACCAAAGAGGAGCGGAAAGTTTTCAGACTCAGAGGCGACATCCCAACAGTAGGGGGCCGGGGTTTGTAATTTTGAGGTGTGTCCCAGACCACAGAATTAAAATTATAGAGAGCCCCTACTTCCCCCAGCCCCCTCTCTCTGTCTGACTGATTTTAACAAGACTAACAGGACTCAGGTGAGAATTGTGTCCACTCGTAAAATAAAAAAAATAAAAAAACAGCATTTCAGCTGTTACTTAGAGTCTTTGCTTGGATAATGCTGAACACAGAGTAGAAATAACTTGCAAAGTCCTATTTTAAATGTGAGATGGCCTCATCTTCCGGCCCAGAAATCCTCAGAATATTTTTGGAATGTCATGAATGTGGCAGGCTCTACAGTTAAAGACATTATTATCAACAGTGTTCACAACATAATATATTGAAGCAGGGAAAGGCAAGAACCACCAAATATAGCCTCCACAGTAAGTGGCGGGTTGTTTATGAGACCGGAAGTTTAAGGACAGTTTTTTGGGGTATGAGCTTCTGTTTAAGTTGATGCTACAGAGACTCAGTACACTGACCTGAACCCCACTGATTTCTCTCCTCTAATCCTTGTTTAATAATGTAGGTAATATTTAAAGATGTATTCTTGAAATTTAATTAACATCCCCAGGCTTGCTTTGATATTCACATGAGAAGCTGCCTGTACCCTTAGAAACTTGGTCTCATGATGTTTTCAAAGCAGTTGTAGAGATAATTGTTGCTTTCAAAAAGAAAAAAACACAACCCCATGAGGTGTTCTGGGTCTGGCAATAATTGATTGTCAAAGAAGTTTTCAAGATAATAAAAGCGTGAGATAATTCAGGGACACTGGCCAAAGTATGTAAAGTCTGTGATCTGAATGATAAGGGGGTAACTAAAAGAAAAATTCTTCCAGATTATAAGAAGAAACCCAGGGGAATTAAAATATGGCTCTAACAGATGACTTGGCTGAAATTAGAAACATTTTTTTACATTTATCTTTATCTACTCCTGGAGGGAATAAAAATAGCCAAACTCCGGCCAGGCACGGTGGCTCACGCCTGTAATCCCAGCAGTTTGGGAGGCCGAGGTGGGCGGATCACGAGGTCGGGAGATTGAGACCATCCTGCCTAACATGGTGAAACCCCATCTCTACTAAAAATAAAAATTAGCTGGGCGTGGTGGCATGTGCCTGTAATCCCAGCTACTCGGGAGGCTGAGGCAGGAGAATCGCTTGAACCGGGAAGTCGGAGGTTGCAGTGAGCCGAGATCGCACCACCACACTCTAGCCTGGCGACAGAGGGAGACTTGGTCTCAAAAAAACAAAAACAAAAAAAACCCAAATTCCAAATATGTAATTAAGTGACATGATCTGAATGTTTACGTCCCCCAAAATTCATATGTTCAAATCCTAACTGGTAAGATGATGTGGAGCCTTTGGGGAGATGTTTAGGTCAGGAGGGCAGAGCCCTCATGAATGGGACTGGTTCCCCTATAAGAGACTCAAGGGAGCTCACTTGCCCCATCCACCGTGTGACCAGACAGCAAGAAGGTGCCATCAGAAGGCACAACCTATGAGCCAGGAAGCAGAACCAGACCCCAAGTCTGCGGGTGCCTTGATCTCAGACTTCCCAGCTTCCAGGTCTGTGAGAAATAAATTCCTCTTAATGATAAGCCACTCCGTTTATAGTATTTTGTTATAGTGGCCCGAATAGACCAAGACTTCAAGTAAAATAGTGTGGGATGGCTGTAGTACTAAGAACCTGTCTCAGTCCCTTTGGGACATGGTATCATAGACTGGGTGACTTCAGCAACAAATATGTATTTCCTAAAGTTCTGGAGGCTGGAGGTCTGACATTAGCATGCCAGCGTGATCAGATTCTGGTAAGAGCCTTCTTCTGGGTTGCAGACTGCCAGCTTCTTGTTATATCCTCACATGGTGGGAAAAGGGATACAGCAAGCTCTCTCATGACTCGTGTAGGGCACAAATCCCTTTCCTAAAGACTCCATTCTCATAACCTCATCTAGTCCTAATTACTTTCTTCAGGCCTCACCTCCTAATACCATCACATTGGTATTAGGTAGGGTTTCAACATCAGAATTTTGAGGGGACACAAGCGTTTAGCTGTAACATCTTCTTAGGTAAGAATTTGGATGGAGGCCGCCTAAATTATCTTTCTTTGTGAATGTGGTTTGGCCAGTAGACTCTCTCTGTTCACAAAATGAAGAGGCTAACACGTGGTCCCGGACCCATGGAAATGCTTTCAAACCTTGCAGTGGTCCAAAGAGCATTCCTTTAATCATTAGCATTTTACTGAGGCATTTGCTACTTTATGTTAAGCAGTATGGGCGGAGATGAAAAGGGTGTGGGAACAGCATTAGTTCAGTGATCAGGGTCCCACACAAGATCGGCTTTCCAGGGCTTTGAGCACACTCTACCAGGTCTGTGTAAGCAGCCTCAGGTTTTCATAAGTGCTCTGGTTTCATATTTGTCTCCTCCAAAACTCATGTTGAAATTAAATCCTCAGTGTGGCAGTATTGAGAGGTGGAGCCCTTAACAACTGATTGGGTTATGAAGGCTCTGCTCTCATGAATGGATTAATCCATTCATGGACCAATACTGGGTTAATGGATTAATGGGTTATGGAAGTGGGACTGGTTGCTTTTTTGTATTTTTATTTTTTGTGGTTTTTGGGGGAGGGGTTGTTTTGTTTTGTTTTGTTTTTTTGAGACAGAGTCTCGCTCTGTCGCCCAGGCTGGAGTGCAGTGGCGCGATCTCGGCTCACTGCAACCTCCACCTCCTGTGTTCAAGCGATTCTCCTGCTTCAGCCTCTCGAATAGCTGGGGCTGCCACCATGCCCAGCTAATTTTTTGTATTTTTAGTAGAGACAGAGTTTCACCGTGTTAGCCAGGATGGTCTCGATCTCCTGACCTCGTGATGCACCCGCCTTGGGCTCCCAAGTCTTGGGATTACAGGCGTGAGGCACTGCGCCCAGCCAACTGGTGGTTTTATAAGAAGAGCAGAAAAATATGAACAATCATGCTCAGCCCTTCACCATGGGATGCCCTGCACCATCTGGGGACTCTGCAGAGAGTCCCCACCAGCAAGAAAGACCTCTCCAGATGCAGCCACTCAAACTTGGACTTGTCAGCCTCCATAATTGTAAGAAATGAATTCCTTTTCTTTTTCTTTTTGTATATATTGTGGGGGTACAAGTGCAGTTTTGTTACATGGATATATCGCCTAGTGATGACCATTCCCTGAAAAATGTACATTGCACCCATTAAGGAATTTCTCATCACTTACCCCCTCCCACCTTTTTTTTCTTTATAAATTATCTAGTTTCAAGTGTACTGTTTTAACCAGAAAATGGACTAAGACAACATAGTATTCATTCCTGGAATGCTTTTCTTAGCAATTAGGGAGGCCAGATACGGTGGCTCACGCTTGTAATACCAGCACTTTGGGAGGCCAAAGCATGTGGATCACTTGAACCCAGGAGTTTGAGACCAGTCTGGGAAGCATGATGAAACCCCGTCTCTACAAAAAATATAAAAATTAGCCAGGTGTGGTAGCGTGCACCTGTAGTCCCAGCTACTTGGGAGGCTGAAGTGGGAGGATCACTCGAACCCTGGGAGGTCAAGGCTGCTGTGAGCCAAAATCACACCACTGCACTCCAGCCTGAGTGACAGAGCTGTCCCCACCGCCTCCCCCACTCAAAAAAAAGAAAAAAAATTAGGGAGACATAGCAACAAGTGCTTTAACTGAGTCAAACTGTCTCTGGTGTCCTGAGCTGTGGAGTTCTTCCTTGTGTAGTGCCATTTCAGTCATTTTCCTTAGAAATGTTCTTGAGTGACCACTAGAATGCAAACTTTACAATAAGGAGAACCTTATCTGTCTTGTTTACTGTTGTAAACAATAATGCCTTATTCATAGTGAAGGAATTATGAATTATGAAGGAATGAATAAGTATTCCATAATTGGCATCATTAATTCCCTCTCTACAGAAAACTGAGGCATGAACAGAAGAGACCCACCTAAGCTTGTCCGTGACCACCCGCTCACCTCATAGTTTGGGACGGAATTGAGATCACGGAACAGGGGTTCCTTTGTCTTTTGTTAAATCCGTAACATTGGATTGATGTGTCTAAGGTTAACCATTGGATATAATAATAATGATATTAAAAACTGACCCTAATGGCACGATGTATTAAAGTTTCCAAGTCACTCATTTGGAAGTCAAGTCAAACATAGCACTAATTTTTCAGTGTAACAATCGAATACCCAAAGTGATGGCCAACATTCCCATTACACGTCTGACATCTTGGCTCACAGTCATGGCCCTGGAACTCTACTCCCTAGAACAGTCCCATGTAAAAAATCTATTAATCCCAGAGCTTTGAGAGGCCAAGGCAGGAGTATGGCTTGAGGCCAGGAGTTTGAGACCTGCCGGGACAACATAGTGAGACCCCATCTCTACAAAAATAAAATAAAATAATTAGCCAGGTATGGTGGCACACACCTGTACTCCTAGCTACTTGGGAGACTGAGGCAGGAAGATTGCCTGAGCTCATGAGTTTGAGGCTACAGTGAGCTATGATCATGTCATTGCACTCTAGCCTGGGTGACAAAGCAAGACCCTGTCTCTAAAAAACAAAAAAAATTTATTGAGAGAGAGAGGCAGCAAGGCCGGCTGGTCTCGAGGAAGAGAAATAAACCTCTACAAGAAAACTGCCACACCCTGTTTGAGCCCAACCTGTTCACCCTCAAAGACAGAATGACCGTCTTCCCCCTTCTGTCTGCACTCCTGGCTGTTCACAGAGCACAACAACAGGGAAATGCTGTCTGTTCTACTCATGTGTTTCTGGTGTCTTCCAGTAGAAATTCACTTTATCATTTAAAATAATTCCTTATATATTTGTTTCTTTGGCATTTGCTTACCATATTCTCATATTTTATCTTATCTCCCTGCTTAGAAAAGTGAAATTGACATTATTGAGCATCTCCTCTGCAACAGGCACTGTGAAATCACATTAGTCGGATGTCGTCCATTAGTCAGACATTTTTCTATTAGACGTTTTGTCTATGTTTTAATGAGAACCTGCTATCAAAGAACTAACTTCTGTTTTCTTTCCCAGCTTGGCTTAAAGGAGTACTTTAGGACTAAGAACAACAGGATGAAAACAGCAGCTAAAGTAGAACACACTGGCAGAGACGTTCATATCCTCGAGCTGTGCTTCCGAAGCTCAAGCATGGCAGAGTGGCCTTGTTAAATCAGAGTTCAGGGCGCCACCCCGACAGTTTCTGATTCAGTAGGTCCCCAGTAGGGACCAAGAACCTTTTTTTTTTTCTTTTTCTTTTTAATAGAGTCAGGGTCTTGCTATGTTGCCCACATGGGTCTCAAACTGAAGCAATCCTCCCACCTCGACCTCCCAAAGCACTGGAATTCCAGGCATAAGCCACCGTGCCTGGCCAAGAACTTTAGTTTTTAACAAGTTTCCAAATGATGCTGGTCTACTGGTCCTGAGACCACACTCTGAAATTGGTGGGATAGGAGGCTGGAATCTTTATCCATTGACTCAACTCCCTTTCCCTATGGTTGAAAGTTGCCCTAGGGTCTTCCCTGGGAGGGCTGGAGACTGACAAGATTCAAACGTTTTGGTGGAAAGTCCCAAGACAGGGAAGTGGGGTGTGCTTGAAGTGGGGCACTGCCATCACCCACCTACCCACCACAGAGGTGGGCTCAAAGGTAAGGCGTGGCTCACAAAAATCTTCTGCTAAGTACCTGTCTGTGCCTCCATTTCTTCCTCTTTAAGATGGGGGTAACTATACCAGTGTTCTAGGGTAACATGTCACCACCCTTGAATACAGCGTTGCTCCCTGTCATGACTCAAGGACAGGTTACCAGACCGGAGCCTCCAGCAATCCAGGAGCCCTTAAAACAAAACTTGTGTCCAGGGTACCCTTCGCTGCCTCATAGGAAATCAAAATGGCCTGGTAGACAACTGTTCATAAGGACAAGAGCCAGCATCACTGCCTTTGAGTCCCAACCTACTCAAATCCATTTTCTGCACTGTACCACCTCATCATATCCCGGATATTGTTAGTGTCATGTCATTTCATGACTCAGGAGCTGCGGGTGACTTTGGTAAGAGTAGAGCAGTCGCTGTCTCATCTGTCACCTCCTCCCCTCACCTCTGTGCAGCCAACATCCAGGGAGCCTGCCTCTTGCTGTCCCTTTCAAAGCTTTCTGGGTCTCTCTTCTGTGCCTTTGATCAGGTCTTTCATGCTGCCCAGAACACTGTCTCTTTCTCCCATGCCAGTGACATCCATTACTTTCTTCAAGGTCTGGCTCAAAACTCAGCACTCGGCCAGGCACAGTGGCTCACGCCTGTAATCCCAGCACTTTGAGAGGCCGAGGCGGGCAGATCACGAGGTCAGGAGATCGAGACCATCCTGGCTAACACAGTGAAACCCTGTCTCTACTAAAAATACAAAAAATTAGCCCGGCATGGTGGGGGGTGCCTGTAGTCCCAGCTACTCGGGAGGCTGAGGCAGGAGAATGGCGTGAACCTGGGAGGCAGAGCCGAGATCGCGCCACCGCACTCCAGCCTGGGCAACAGAGCGAGACTCCGTCTCAAAAAAAAAAAAAAACAAAAAACTCAGCACTCTTGGGAAATTTCCCCTCCAGGGAGACAGGGTCACACAGGGCACAGAGAACCTTGGTGGGAGGCAGAAGCCCTAGGTTTGTTTATGTCCTGGTTCAGACACTTTGCAGCCTCATAGATGACATTAAACAAGCTCCTTAGCCTCATAGATGACATTAAACAAGCTCCTTAGCCTGTTATCTTACTTTGGGCTACCCTAAAAGCAGAGACTATGATATGGACTTGGATATGTGTAGTTAATTTGGGAAGTGATCCAGGGAAGCCGGAATGAGGGATGGGAAGTAGGAAAAATCAAACAATTATGTGTCATTGAGCCCACTGCCACTGTGGGCTACTGGAGATCAGTCACACGGGGCACTGTCTGTGAACCGTGTTGGGGCACTGTCTGTGAACCGTGTTACAAGCCCCTCAGAATTGGCCCCCCAAAGAACAGGAGGCTGGGATCTTTATCTGTTGACTCAACTCCTATTCCCCATGGTTGAAGGTTGCCCTGGGCTCACCCCTGGGGGCTGACAAGACCCAAAGGCTTTGGAGAAAGGCCCTGAGACAGTGAAGTGAGTTGTGTTGGAGGTGGAGCGCCGTCATCACTCACCTGCCCACCACAGAGGTGGGCGAAGGGGTGACGTATGGCTTACAAAAATCTTCTGCTAAATACCTGTCTGGGCCTCAGTTTCTTCCTCTTTAAGATGGGGTAACTATCCACGTTCTAGGGTAGCGTCAAATGACAGAGGTGACATATGCGAAGGCCCCTCCCTCAGCACACACCAGCCACCCCAGCGTCCCTGACTCTGTGTCCACTCGACACTTACAGCTGTTGTATTTGTCATGTCTGCCTGCATGTACGGTCCCTCAGTGTTATCTATGGCTATTTCAGGTCTTTTACCTTAGCTGAAGATAAGGGCAGGGTTCTTCTTTTTCTGTCACCCATCCCAAAGTGCCTGCTACACAGCTGAATGCCAAGTATGCCCTTGGTACAAATGGGTGTCCAGTGAACTTGCTGTCTCAAAACAGTCATCTGTGAGCCTGTTCTTCTCCGTGGAGATGTCCCGCACGGCCATGGAGAAGCCACAGGCAGCGTCCTAGCCTGCTTCTTGCAGCTGAGAGACCAGCTCCAACATTGCGTGAGCCCATTGCCAAACTGCTGGTGAAGTGCCGTGCGCTGTGGCAAACACATGGCAGCCTGGGGAGGGAAATCTTCTGATGCCTTGAGCCCTGGCAGGGCAATGGGCAGTAGATCAAGCTGGCCTGCCTCGCGTGGGCCTTCAGCAGGGATGCAGGCGAGGCTCCCAGAGGACGATGACTCATGCCTGCATCTGTGGCTGGTTATTCCAGATGCTGCCCTGCAATGGGACTGTTCTCTGCTCTCCCGACCCCCGGCACCGGTACAGCATGGGAGTGCATGAGAGTGAGCTTTGGTTTCTTTAGGGGAGTCACTGCGTAATTGGAGAGCAGTGTTCATGGGCAAGACAAAGGAGGGCCGGCGCGAGTGAGGGAAGACGAGAAGATGATGTTCCAAACTACTCTCGGCATAAAGTGTGCTTTGAATATTTTGGGCTATTTTTCCAACTGTAGGGAGAGTTTTCCCTGAGACACTGATTTGTCACCAAGGCAAGTGATGCTGGGTCTGGGGTGCTCTCTGCACCTACAGCCTGGAACAGAATCGTCTTCTCTGGGCAAAACCACGTGACTCACATGAGACTCAAAACTGGACCCTTCTTTCTGTCTATACCATACTTAGCAAAGACAACAGGCTTAACTGCTCTGTGAAAAATGCTAAACAACTTCTCAGAAACAATAAACATCTTCTACCTACCTGAATGTTTACATTTAGACAGGCCTTTAAGATTATTAGCCTCTATAAAAATATACAGGCATACCTCAGAGATAATTCAAGTTCAGTTCCAGACCACTGCAATAAAGCAGATATCACAATAAAGCAAGTCACACAAATGTTGTGGTTCCCCAGAGCTTATCAAAGCTGTGTTTGCACTGTACTATAGCCTCTTAAATGTGCGATGATATTATGTCTTTTAAAAAAGTACATACGTTATTTTAAAAAGACCTTATTGACAAAAAATGCTGACAGAGACACAAAGCGAGCATATGCTGTTGGGAAAATGGCACCGATAGACTCATTCGATACAGGGTTGCCGTGAATCTTCAATGTGTAAAAAACATAGTATCTGTGAAGCACAATAAAGTGAAATGCAATAAAACAAGGTATACCTGTAAATAACTCTAGAATCAGTTATTTACTCTTTTTTCCCTTCACCTGGAATTCCTACCTGGTTATCTCCAACTACAGTAATCCTGTCCTTAGGACCTTGCTCAAATGCCCCCTCCTCCAGGAAGTCCTCATGATCACCTCCACCCAAAAGAGCTCATGATCACCTCCACCCAAAAGAGCTCTTCCCTGGAGACAGAGGGAGGGCAGGCACAAAAGAGACAGTTTGTCTCCTTTATAGTTTGACCTCACATAAATTTTGGTGTCCTGGAAAGAATAATGCCAACATTTCCACATTATACATGTGGAAATGGCTTTAAACTCATATAAATCTTTGGTTTAATAACCGTGTATAAATGCAGTTAGAGAGAGAGGGAGGATGAGGGAGATTTAAAAATAAGAGGCCAACGGAGAGGAGGCTATTAAACTATGTGGCAATGATTTATTGATTGAGAAGTAAAGGGAATTCCTCTCTTCTTCTAAATGATCGGTTTCCAACTTCTAAACACTCCCAGATGTGGAATGCATGTTTCTTCCTTCCATTCCTCTCTGCAGGCTGCCCTGACATTTGTTAAATGGGCTCCTGGGTCCTGGTTTGCAAATGTCGCCACTTTGAGATCCGTAGATGGTCATCCCTGGCTCCCTTGGGGAGTGTCCTGGAATCCACCAGCTCCATCTGCTCGACGAGAGACTTGAGTTTGTTCTGTTACCTCTTTCATCATTAGCCAAAGCTCTGGGACTTGGTTAAAACTTTAGGCAGTTAAAAAGACTGACTTATGGAGATAGTAGTATTTTCATTATATTATCCGCTTGAATTTATGTTCTTGAATTCCATTAACCTGAAATATATCAAAATACCAAGATGTTATGAATAATGGGAACAAATACAGAAAAGTGAAAACAGTTGTCTGTGAAGTTTCTGCAGGATGAGAAGTAAGGGAGGACAGCCTTCCCTCTCAGATGGCTCCCCACCTTCGGGTCCATGAAAACCACTGGCCAGAGCCTCAGGGGAGCCTTCAGTTAATCCTTTTTAAATGAATGAGAGGTGGATGGAGGAGGGCATCTTGCCTGCAAGTTGGCCCCCAAATGTCTTGTTGTATTAATAATTCAGCTCATGGCTTCATACTGCAGGTCTACTCAAGGAAAAAGTTATGTCATGCTTGCAATGGTCTTCAAAGTATGCTGTCCTTTTCTTTCCTCTTCCACTGCCACTAGCATACTCCAGGTCGAATTGTCTATCTGGTGTGCCTGGTCTTCCCAACTCCAGGTTACTCCCTCTCCAACCACCCTGCAGCCCTCTGCTGGCCTCCCCGTCCTCAATCACCCTACCCCCCCTCTGCCAGCCTCCCCTTCTTCAATCACCCTGCCTCTCTCCCCCACCAGCTGGCCTTCCCCTCTCCAATCACCTTGCCCCTCCTCTGCCAGCCTCCCCCTCCTCAATCACCCTGCCCCCCTCTGCCAGCCTCCCCCTCCTCAATCACCCTGCCCCCCTCTGCCAGCCTCCCCCTCCTCAATCACCCTGTGCCCCTCTGCAGGCCTCCTTCTCTTTCACAGACCCTCTGGTTGGGTGTCTCTATTTTTGTTATTACTTTAGATAGCAGCTCTTTCTGGCCTTCACCAGTGACAGCACATCACCAAAGCCCTGGGTACAGACCATCCTCATTGTGACCTTTGTGCTTTGGTTTGCATCAGACCATTTGGTTAGAAAGCTGCTCTTCCTCAGGCCTGCCTGTCCAAGTTCTACCAATTTCTGAAGATCTGGATTAAATGCCATCTCACCGACCTTTACCACATCCCCTCTCCTCTATGCTATGGCCACTGTTGCTGCCATGGCCACAGCAGGAAGCAGACTGTGGGTACTGACTGCCACATAAGGACAACAGTCACGCAGCTCTGGCAACCCCTGAGCAGTTGCTGCAAGGAGGTCACCTGATGACACAGGTGGCAGTGTGCCCACATGGACAAGCAGTCCCCAGAGAACCTCCTTGCCGCATGTTGTCCCCATCCCCTTCTCCCTTTGGGTCTGGCACCTACAGTGGCTGTCACCTTCCGCAATGCCCATGTGAACTTCCTAGCAACAGGGCACTCCTGTTGCCAACAAACAGAAATATGGAGGGCTCTGATTAAGCTCTTTTGAAAACATCATATAATAGAGATCAAATCAAGGAAGCTACATTTCAGAAACATTAGTTATGTTCCTATATCAATAAACAATTGCTATATGGGATCCACTATTGCAAAATCTCCCAATCTCCTCAGAAAAAGCAAAAACCACCCTTGCCATGTATCCTGTATTTGGGGGAAAATCAAGGAACTCCCTGAGATTAATCATACCTACTTAATAGAAACCTTCATCTGAGAAGCACTAAGTACTTTGGACACGTTAGCACATAGATCCTAATAATATTCCTATTAAGAAGAAAGAGGTTAAATTTACTTCACCTAATGGTTGGGGAAACTAGTCTAGAGACAGAGAAAAACTGATCTACTCAAGCTCAGGGAATATCTCAGTGTTAGTGATGAGAATAAAACTCAGAGGCTGGAATCTCAAACTAGTGTGCTATCACAGTATGTTATTCAGTGCACACTCATTCATTCATTCATTCATTCATTCATTCATTCATTCATTCTGTGCCAGACACTGTGCTAGGCTCCCAGGAACAATGAGCATAAGACCCAGCTCTTATCAAGCTTGTCATCTAATAGATGAGGAAGAGAATGAAAAGCAAGCACACAGACAAAAGCACTAGGCTGTGCTAAGTGCTATGAAGGAAACAAGCATCCATTGAATCCTTACGGTGCCTGTCATTTGTTCTCATAGCATCCCTATGAAGAAAGTATTTTACAAGTAAAAAAGCAGAATCTCTACAAGGTCAGGTGCTTGCCCAAGGCCTCACCACTCACAAGTGACAGAGCAGGAATCTAAACACACTATCCTTTCCCTCCAACAGCCATTCACCATGGAGCCAAAATGCATCCACACACTCCCAGAGCCAATCTCGGAAGGACAGACAAACACCAGGACTGTGCCAGAACTCCCTTTTCCTTCTAGTGTTGTGTCTCTTCTTCCCTGTTCATCAAGCAGAAGAGGCTGGTGGGCGGCACAGCCTAAGGAAGGAATGGTGTCTGTCTTCAACGCTTAGGAAGCTTTGAGACATTCTCCAAACTCCAGCTCCAAAGAATATGTCCATTCTAAGCAGTATATACACAGCAGAGTTAAGAAGCTTTAGTAGGGGCCAGTGTGGTGGCTCACACCTGTAATCCCAGCACTTTGGGAGGCTGAGGTGGGTGGATTACTTGAGATCAGGAGTTTGAGACCAGCCTGGCCAACATGTTGAAACCCCGTCTCTACTAAAAATACAAAAATTAGCTGGGCATGGTGGTGCATGCCTGTAGTCCCAGCTACTCGGGAGGCTGAGGCAGGAGAATGACTTGAACCCGGGAGGCGGAGGTGGCAATGAGCCAAGATCGCACCACTACACTCCAGCCTGGGTGACACAGTGAGATTCAAAAAAAAAAAGAAAAAAAGAAGAAGCATTATTAGCAGGTGCCTCTGAAATGGGAAAGGTTCCCTTGTCCCTCACAGGGCATGCAATGGGATATGGCTCGCTTCTTCAGTGCCCCGCTGCTCAAACCTCAAAGCATACAGATGGGCAGGCTGTGGGGCTCTGACCCCACGGCAGTATCGAGGGGTGAGGGTTTACAGCTGAAGCCCCAGTGGGCGTGTGTTACAGGATGCTCTTTTAGTTTAGCCGTCCGTAGGCGGCTTGTGTTAGTCAGCTCAGTTGGACCCCTGCCTTATCACAAGGACAGAGGGCTTTCTGTATCCTGGGATTCTTGCTTTCATGTACTGGAAGAATCAGACCACACCTGCACTTGGGGAATGAGTTCAGGGTTTTATTGAGTGGAAATAGCTCTTGGCAGATGGGGGAAGCCAGAAGGGGATGGAGTGGGAAGGTTTTCCCCTGGAGTCAGGCTACTGAGCGGCCAACTCTTCTCTGACCACCCCAGCTAAACTCCGAGTTGTTCTGCTGGTCAATGGCCTGCCGGCCTGCCAGTGCCTGTGAATATGCCCTTAACGTCCAGCCGCCTGTGTGTTTACCTGCTAGGGTCTCGGGGTTTTTATAGGCACAGGATGGGGACGTAGCAGGCCAGGGTGGTCTTGGGAAATGCAACGTTTGGGAGGAGAACAAAAATCCCTGTCTTCACCTAGGTCTGTGACCACGGGTCTGAGGATAGAGCCCTAGCCAGGGACCATACCCTAGGATGGAAAGACGTTCTCTCTGCCCTGGGTAGCATGATAACAAGGCAGATAAAGACTACAATGGAAATAAGCAGAAGCCACAGTGGGCTCTGCAGAGGAAATCCATAACTTTCTTGTAGGAGAAAAAGAACAGAGGGTGAAGGATAAGGAGGTTCACCTGGCACACAGGTAGGGGAAGCATGGTGAGAAAGAGACGACAGAGTCTCTCAGTCCTGAGAAGAGACAAAGCACGGGGCCAGGGATCACTCCGACCGCCTGGACAGGGCGCTTAAAGGAGAGGAAGTGTGGGCGGGGAAGGTGGAGTGGTGGAGACCTGGAGGGTCCACATTACATCAGAAGCTGCCTCTATTGCTTCCTCGTCTGCTTCCCTGGCTCCACTCCTTTTGGGGTGAAGAACTGGCTTTATCTCACCACACTGTCTTCTGCCTCTCCTGTATTTGCCTCACGATGGTCACAGCTAAGCTTGTGAAACTTAAAAACCAAAAGCGGGCCGGGCGCGGTGGCTCAAGCCTGTAATCCCAGCACTTTAGGAGGCCGAGGCGGGTGGATCACGAGGTCAGGAGACCGAGACCACCCTGGCTAACGCGGTGAAACCCCGTCCCTACTAAAAATACAAAAAATTAGCCGGGCATGGTGGCAGGTGCCTGTAGTCCCAGCTACTGGGGAGGCTGAGGCAGGAGAATGGCGTGAACCCGGGAGGCGGAGCTTGCAGTGAGCGTAGATTGCGCCACTGCACTCCAGCCTGGGCGACAGAGTGAGACTCCATCTCAAAAAAAAATTAAAAAAACAAAACAAAAGCAAAACCACCTCTCTTTCTCCTACAGACACAGAGCCAAGCACATGTAAGTCCAAAGTATGCTGGGTGGCCACTTCGCTGCTGTGGCCAAGTTTAGAAATGTGTTGAAAAGGACAGCTGACCTCTGTGTTCTGCTGGGCACCCCTGTACACTCCCTCCCCTGGGCAAATGATTCCCTGGCCATGAAGGTTTGTGCCTGAGCGTGGTGGAGGAGGTCTCAGGCTGAGGAGGAAATTGTCTCCTCAAAGAGGCACAGAGGGGGCCCTGGAGCCTGGCCACCTGCATTCCAACCCCAGCACCAGTGTTCTGGAGTGTGACACCAACAGACTACCTCCTGTGCCTCAGTTTCTGCGTATGTCAAATGTGATAGTAATTCCAAAAAAAATCACTGCAGGATTTTTTTATTTAGGTTAAGTTTTTAAATTTAGATTTGAAGCCAGCTGTGTGAGGAGAAGGAGCGAGCAGTCCAGGGAAATAGTTGGAAGGGAGGCTGAGAGTGGGAGGGTGAGAGCCCGCCAGCCCAAGCAACAGGGAGGGAGTACAGAGCAGAGCTGAGTGCCTGGAGGCAATGAATCTGCCTTTGCAAAATGATGACAGTAAGAGAAATCTAATATACCTAACTCTATCTTGCTTCTAACCTTCAAGCTTTTCTTGTTTATTCCTGGGTATAGACCAACCTAACTTTGAAAAGAATTTAGTTTATGGTTTAACCTTAAAGC